ATGACGTTGATCATCATCAAGATTAGAAAAGAATAAACAAACAGGGCTGTCCCTTATCACCCAAGTAGCCATAGTCACTCCATTTCTGCCCACCCAGACATTCTGATCAAACAAGATTTGAATCCCTGCAGGAGGAAGGAGAAAATAGAAAAGTCACAACCCTTAGGGTGAGTAAGAGGCACATAGAGGGCGGCAGGTTGGGCCTGTTCCCAGCCGAACTCACCTTGGACTCCGCACTAAGAGCCATCTGCCTTCCAAACAAGTGACTTCGCAGCCTTGTACCTAAGAGCCCTTGTCTTTAAAATGGAGGAAATAAGTGTATCTTACTGCAGACATTCGCTGGAGGCACTGCTCGACAGCACATGCAACATGCTTATTAGAGCCCAACAAATCATTAATGCCAGGTAAATGGGTCTTTTTTTATTACATTTTGTGTGTGTGTGTGTGTGTGTGTGTGTGTGTGTTGTGTTCAGAGGACAACTTGCAGGAGTCAATTCTCTTTCCAGCATGTGGGTCCCAAGGAACAAGCTCAAGTCCTCAAGCTTAGTGGTAGAAATCTTCACCCGCTGAGCCATTTCATTGGCTCAGATGGGGATTATTGTTGCTGTATGTGTTTGTTTGTCATAATCAAGTGCACATTTGTATTAGGATCTTCTAGAGATACAGAACCAATATGTATGTATGTATGTATGTATCTATCTATCTATCTATCTATCTATCATCTATCATCTATGTATCCATCCATCCATCCATCCATCCATCCATCCATCCATCCATCCATCTATCAAAGGGCAAAGAGAAACAAATCCACAGAGAGATTTATTATGAAGACTTGGCTCGCAGTTACTCAGGCTGAGAAATTCCATAACTTCTTGTCTATAAGCTGGAGTACAGAAAGGCGGGTGGTGTGGTTGAGTCTAGGCTCAGAGGTCTGAGAACCATTAGGGGATCATCTGCCAAAAGACCAGGAGAAGGTGGGGGGTGGGGGTGGAAAGGGCCCTGCTACTTCATCTTCAAGGCTTTGCTGCAGGAAGAAGCACCTCCACCCCTGCCCCATCAAGCCCAATCCCACTGGGGAGAGCAGTCTGCTGAGTTCCCTGATGTAAGTGCCAGAACTGTGAAGACCCCAAAGCCTCCCAGCGTGACTTAACTATCACACTGCTAACAGTGAGAATGATTGGGCTATCTTCAGTCCCACCTCTGTAGTGCCTATCAGGTGAATATGCTAATTCAGAAGATCATTAACTTTCACCAATCCAAAAGCTAAGAATATCATCAGATAACATTTGAAACAATGGCAGATATTTCCTCTGCTTTTCTGTAGCCTGGGTACCTGGTGTCCCCACCAAGGCATTTGGTAAGTACATTGATTTATGACTCTTTTGTTCTGTAACTATAAAAAGTTCACAAACCACTTTCATGGTGGAACACATATTTTGCTCAGAATAAACTCTTATTCCCTTTGAAACAAGAGCTGTGCTTTCTATCAGCAAACCTGAGGGAGCTTTGATGCCCTGATCAGCTCTGGCCTTCAGTTACTAGGTGAAGAAACCAGCTTTAAGGTCAGAGTTGACAGGCATGACAGTTGCTAAGAGCAAAACACCACCACTACTGCAGTCTTAGAGATAAAGCAGGCTGTTCAGACACACAGGCCTAGTGGGCAAACTTTTGTGACCCTAACACCCAGCTCCCCACACACCAGCCTTCTGAGCTTTGTTCAGTTGGGTAGTATGTTAATGCTATGTGTACTCAGTTTCCACACGTGAGATGGAGTGGATAAGGCAGGTTTAGAGAGGTCAAAGCGGTGGTCTGGTTCGAACATCCACCCCAGGTCCCCCACCTCCTGTTTGGAGGAGGCCTGTGTTCTGAGCATGAAGAAGTTCCCTGGGAGCTAGTCTGACTCCTCCCTCACATCACTGGTACTCACAACACAGAGTAATCCTGCTTCCTACGCTGTCCCTCAAAGCATCAGGACACTGTCTCCATGGGCAGGACAGATCATAGTCCAACACTTGGGAATCCATGGAAATAAGGTGTGAGGACTTTTCTGTGTCAGGTGTTGGGAGCTGGCTCTTGGAAATGCGTAGAGATTGGCAGCTGGGTGGGTGAGCTTGCTTCTGGCCTGGAGTTTCCTTGTGAGGACCTCATCTAAGAGGAAACTGACTTCTGTCCAGACTTTTCAGTCTCTCCCTACTGCAGAATTGGGAGAAGGCTCCTCAGCGCTTCTAGATCTTCTTCAGAACCCTGTGTCCCACAGCACCACCTGCTCTGGGATGGGTGACCTCTGGTTCTTCCGGACAGATTTTTCTTCGGTATTGGCAAGCATCTGCGGCCACTTTGATGTCTACTTGCTAAAAAGCTCTGACCTCTGAGCACAGACGTTTTTTTATTGCTCGCGGTTTATTTTACATGTTTCTCAGAGGAGCTGCCAGGCTGCCAACAACAGATTTAGAGATCATTTCAAACCTGGCCTTCTTTAAAAAATAAATTAAATCATTGCCTGCAGAGTGTGTGAGCACAACCATTTGAGAATCCCTCTGAAAAGAAAGCAATACCAGGCATCACGAAGTTCTTGCCTTTTTATTTTTTTTCAACCTTTCTTTCTGTTTACCCTGATTCTTTTTGTATTTGCTGAGGGGAAAAATGCGTGGAACAAAATGTAAGAACACTAGTAAATGCAGAAATTCGATACAGAAATTCGTTCTTAAAGCAGCGTTCTTAGCTTTTATCTATTTATTTATTTTGCTAAACCAGAGTCCACCCCCCAATCTGCATAAAACACAGGTAAAAGGGCGGCGCGGAAAGCAACCCCAAATTGGGCTTGAACAGGCTTTCGGGTCACCAGACACCGGAAAAACCACAAAAAGGCCCCGCTGGGATTCGAACCCAGGATCTCCTGTTTACTAGACAGGCGCTTTAACCAGCTAAGCCACGGAGCCCGCACGCTTCCTGGGTGTCAAATCAACAAAGAAAAGGGCCGGGACTTGCCTTTGTTGTGCATCTATTTACTGTCTTACTGGGGATGACTGGAGTCTCGCGTAGAAGATCCGGGAAACCGCTCAGTCGCGGGAAGACCGAGTCCTGGCCCCGGCTGCGCTGGGAGATGATGCAAAACCGCCTGGGAGGCGAGATGCAGCTCATCCCGCGCTGGGAAAAGCTTCTGTTAATCAGACCCCTCGCAGCCCCGCAGCGAGGGAGGGCGCAACGTCCTCGAGGGCTGGTTTCTGTTTCATGAGATTTACAATCGAGGAACTCAGTATCACCGTGAGATTCAAAGAAACAAGCATCCATTCCTTTATATTGCGGATCATTGTCCTATTATTGTGCTCCAAGGCTCAGGCACACTTAATCCAGCTTTGGCCAAACTGTGGCCGATGCCGGGCAGCGGAGCCAATATTGCATTTATTTCTGATCCCTTCTTTTACTTACAGTTGGAGATACTTGCATGGAGTTTCTTGGAAGGTTATTGAAATGCTGATGAATCTTTTAGAGAAATCAGATGGGAGCCGGCCTGGTGGCTCACACCTGTAATCTCAGCACTTGGGAAGTGAAGGCAGGAGAATCGCGAGCCAGGTCATCTCTGTCTACAGCAAATTCCAGGTCAGCCTGGGCTGTAAAAGACCCTGTCTCAAAAAAAAAAAAAAAAAAAAAAAAAAAAAAAAACAGACAAGCCACAGAAACATGAGGGTAAATGCTGTTTCCCGTGCGGTTTCCACTGTGACCAGGGACCACACTAACATCTGAAATTGGAGCAGGGACACAACCATGTCACACAGCCACATCACACCCTGCTCACGCTAAAGAGAGGAGGGGAGGCAGACCAGGCAGTGTTCCCTCTGCCTTGGAGCAAAACCAAAGAACAGTGCACCAGGGTGACAGCTCAATGTGTCAACCTGGCCAGGCTACAATGCCCAGTTAGTTAAACACTAATTCAGCTGAACATGGTGGCATCCAGCACAGTCTTGACACTCTGTTTTAGTTTAATCTGTCAAGCGTGCGAGTTACTACTGTATTCGTCTACAGGCTCTGTTTTTTCCTGGGTTATGCTTCTCTGACTGATAAAATCAGTTACTGACTGGGACCTGAAACTGAAACTGTCAAAAAATAAATAAATAAAAATACACCCAATAGAAAGATTCTCCCAAACAAGGTGAAACCATGCCTCGCTGTGGACATGCCTGAGCAATTTGAGGTGCTCAGGAGAAGCCTTCAAATTTTGCAAAATGAAGTGAGTTTTTGTAGGTTAAAAACAAGAGGGCAGGGAGTGTGGACAGAGCATCCAGCCAGCTGGGATAAAGCGGTTCTGGACACACAGATTAGGCCCAGTAGCCTGCAGAGTCTCCTTAGGACCCAGTTTCCCCTTCTGAAAAGGTGAGGATTAAGCAGGACCCAGCTTTGTTTCACTACTGAAGACTCAGGGTACAATTTTCCAGGCTTTGTTTGTTTGGAGACAGGCTCTGAGAGAAGGACGGCCTGGAACTTGCTATATAATGGTCAGATGATGGTGACTCCTGATCCTCTTGTCTCCACCTCCTGAGTACTGGGATTACAAGTACATGCGCCCAAGGGCTGGCTCCTGATGATATACTTCAGTGTAACTGGCTTCTTTTTGAAACCTTTTATATTTATTCTTCATATTTAATAGCATTATTCTGACTGAGATGGAGTTCAATATCACCAAACTGTCCTAGGACAAAACCTGGTGGGAAAGACCTCTATGGTTTGAGGAGAAAAGCATAACAAGTAGGCCTCCCTTAAGAACAGAATGTGTGTGTGTGTGTGTGTGTGTGTGTGTGTGTGTGTGTGCGCGCGCGCTAGGGGCTGCTGAAACTATGAACTGAAACTAAATACTTTTCTAGTCTCAACGTGTATAATTTTAACGTAAGGCAATTCAAGCCTGTTTCTAGCCCTTGGTTTATTTACAGTTACGATGCCTTTTCAGAATACAGAAAGGCAGAAGCCTGCGCGTTTCCCTTAGGGCTTTGCCGCCTGTCTCCCACATGCGGGAGTACTGGCCGAATGCACGCACGTTGAGTGGAGAGGCGACTGGGGCCGAGCACGGAGGACTGAGGCTCAGGTACAGACCTGGGGAGGGTGGGAAGAGGTGGTCCAGCCCTATGGGCTGCCTGCAACGTTACCCACCCCACCCTAGGGAGCCACGTAACTGCTCGCCCCGCCCCGCCGTAGGCATGTGTGGGGCCAGTGGCGCAATGGATAACGCGTCTGACTACGGATCAGAAGATTCCAGGTTCGACTCCTGGCTGGCTCGGGCTCTTTTACGGACTTCCTGCGACAAGGAGCCCGTCGCGGTGTTCTTTCGTTTTATATCCCCGGACTCTCTGGAGCCCAGGCTGCCTCAGCACCCACTACGCTCCAACTCGTAGCCATCATCCTGCCTCCGCCTCCGCCACGACTACTCATTCATCGTAGACGCAACAGGTTGAAGCCGCCTGTAAGTGGAAGGGACGTCACTCAACCTGCACACTCAAGATCAGCGCGGCGTCGCTCCGGTCACGGCCGTCTCCTCTCCGCTCCTTCCCACCGGGTGGTTCGTAGAATGAATAACAAGCTGCATTTGCGCCCATCCGCCCTGAGCGCCTGCAGCCCACTCATGAACACGCCACCAGCAACCGCTCCTGGAGCGTGGGTTGTAGAAGTGCTGGTGGACCAAGGAGGCTCAGCGTTTCCGTAGTGTAGTGGTTATCACGTTCGCCTCACACGCGAAAGGTCCCCGGTTCGAAACCGGGCGGAAACAGTGTTTTGCCTTTTTTGTATTTCGGAGTTCGTTCCTTGAAAACGGCTGAGATTTCCGGGAAGCTCCCTTCCTTTTCCAGCGGAGCCAGCTGGAGGCGGCAGCTCTGGACGGCCCGAGCCCCTACCCCGGCCTCCTGGAGAGGTTGCGCGGCTCCTCTCAGGGGCCGGAAACGCACCCCGATACTTCCGGTCCCGCCGCCGGGCTCCGCGGCCCACGGTCATCCCCAGCGCCCCGGCCTCAGGTAGATGCCTGGGAAGTCGCGGGGGTCTCCACCGACGCCTTCCACACCGCAGTCCGGGCACGACCCCGGGACAGTCAGGCCGCAGGGTGGGGGTGGGGTGCGGCCGGCCAGGGGACCTCGAGAGCCGGACCCGAGACGCCCAGGACCAGAGCACCAGGACCCCGAGAGCAGGACCCCCAGTTCCAAGACCCCCCAGCACCGTTACCCCAGGACCGGGACCACCAGCACCGAGACCGCGAGGCCCCCAAGACCGGGATTCCCAGGGCCGAGACCCCCAGGGTTGGACCCAGCCGTCTTCCTTCCCATTGTCCCCTCCTGGCCTCAAAGAAAATCAGCCTCGAGGGGTGCTGTCACCTGTGATGCAGAGTTGAGGCTGAGGCAGGAGGATTGCTGTGGTTCGAGGCCAGCCTGAGCTAAAGAGTGACACCGTCTTAAAAACAAAAATATCCGAAAAGTGGCAGGTCCCCAAGTTAACAGACGGAGGGGGCTGAGAGGGTGAGCCCTACCATTGCGATGAGTGACTGACAGCCCGGTCATCGCGATGAGCGACAGCCGCTGACAGTCAGGGAGTCCCGTCCCAGGGCGGTTTCTGCTGGAGGCCTCAGCCCCACCTGGAGCGGCCGCACCTGTCCTGCCCACCCCGCCTTCTCAACCGAGGTGGGGCCTCGCACTGTGAGCTTGGGCGTGCAGAGAGCAGACGGGAGAGTGGTGCCTTCTTAAAATACATTTTTAGAGTGGGACCAACTGGTAAAGTTACAGTTTCCCAGGGAATGTTTTGAGTTGAGATCCGCCTGCCGCTGCCTCCCCTAGTGCTGGGATTAAAGGCCTGCGCCTCTGTACCCGGCCTTGAACTAAACAACTCGAGAAAATACCGTGTGCCTTATGGATGTGACCGTCGCCTGCAGCTTAAGGGGGGGTTTGCCTTGGCTCCCAGGCCGGTCCTAAGCAGACCTGTCAGCAATCCGCATTTTCTTTACGTTTTGTTTCCTATGCGCATAGGTCACTGACTTTGGTATGATGAGGTTTTAATGCCGTGTCATTCCTTTGCGGTTCAGGTATCTGTCTCCTTTATAAGAAGTTGCAGGAGAGGTGAGAGGGAGGCCCCGGCCGCGCCAAGCCCGCCGCCACGCCCAAGAGAAAAGCCAGAGGCGACGCCAAGGTCGGGAAGGCAGAGCGGGAGCCGCAGCGGAGGTCGGCGCGGCTGTCCGCCCCGCCCGTCGCTCAGAAGCCAGAGCCCAGGCCCGCGAAGGGCCCAGCGCAGAAAGGGGAGAAGCTGGGGGGAGGGAGGAGGGGGAAGGCTGCGGGCCAGTATCCCCGCCCGCGGGACTTTCAACGTGGGTACCTGGAATGAGGAGCGGGCTCGGGAAGGCAGAGCGGGAGCCGCAGCGGAGGTCGGCGCGGCTGTCCGCCCCGCCCGTCGCTCAGAAGCCAGAGCCCAGGCCCGCGAAGGGCCCAGCGCAGAAAGGGGAGAAGCTGGGGGGAGGGAGGAGGGGGAAGGCTGCGGGCCAGTATCCCCGCCCGCGGGACTTTCAACGTGGGTACCTGGAATGAGGAGCGGGCATGAAAGGGGCAAGAGACACAAAGAATGGAGACAAGACAGGCTTTCTGATCAAATCTCATTTATTGATGGAGAAGGAACAGTTTTTATAGAGAGGGAAAGGGGAAAGTTGGCAGGGATAAATCTATTGAGGCAGGAGTAATTCTATTGACAGAGCAATTATCATAATTACACTACACCAATTGATCACAGAGTAAATTCCATAGTAACACCACAATTCTATAGTAAGGCCATAAATCAATTATAAGGTCACACCTGCATGATTACGAGGTAATGCAATTTTTTTAGGCAGTTTTATGAGAAATGAGGGAGTCTCTTAAGTGGTAAGTGCCCGAGTTAGAAGAACATGTTTTTGTGAGGCTTTCAAGAATGGCCATCTGGTTAATCTCAAACCAGATCAGCCTTGATGTCTGAAGAACAGCTTTGCCAGGAATCAGGTCTTGCTATTTCTTGGGGTGGGGGCCTACGGTTTTTTATAGATTTTTTTATTTTAATAAAGAGGGAAAATGAGCCAAAACAATCCCTTAGGGAACCGTGCCTGCCTTAGGTTGGGAGATCCTCTTCTGATGCTTACCCGTCATGGGCAAACAAACAGCTGCTTTGGCTGCCAGCCTGCCTTAGGTCGCTATCAGTGAGATCTCCTCTTACCCGTCTTTGGCTATCTGGTTCAGCTCTCAAGGGGACGACTGAAGCACATTGTCATGTGGCCTTTTAGGCTTATAGGGCTCTTCCCAATCTTTAAGTGCAAGCCTGAGATAATGTATTTGAATTGGCTTTGTTGTAAGATCATCAATCTGACTTTTTATGAAGCTAGTGAGCTTCTTAAACGCCCAGGGGCCAAAAGCAATTACTATTAGAAAGCCAAGAAATGGGCCAAGTATGTTGGGTAAAAGGGCAGAGAGCCAGGGAGAAGTGGAAAACAAATTTTCGTACCAAGGCTCTGCTTTTTCTCTCTCCCTCTTACGCTGTTCCAAACCTTCCCTTAAAGCAGCCATGTTGTCTTTAATTTTTCCCGAGTGGTCACAGAAGAAACAACACTCTTCCTTGAGGGCCACACAAAGCCCTCCTTGCTGTAGAAACAAGAGATCTAGGCCCCTCCTATTCTGAAGGGCAACTTCAGCCAGAGAACTAAGTCCTCCAGGTCAGATATAGAGTCCTCAATACGTTTTAAGTCTAGATCAATATCTGCTCTCAGGGATGAATAAGACTGCTGCTGTGTGAGGGAGCACAGCAGTCCCTGTGCTGATTCCTGCAGCGATCCCAGCGCCTAGCAAAATGCTAAGGGTCAATGAGATGAGCTCTCTCTTTTGTCTAACGGGACCCACGTCATGATCAAAATGATTTAAAAATTCTTCATCAGAGTGGTAAACAAGGTAAGAGTCTTATTACACAAAAACCTTGATAACGTTTAAGAACCTGGGAATGTATACAAGGTGTTAGCCCAGTGTCGCAGGCCCACCAGGTGTCATTGTGGGGAACAAGGTAATCATCTGTGCCATTCGTGGCTTTGTTAACCTCAGAGCACAGCCCAGAATTTCGAGCTGCTGTGACATTCCCAACACAGGTCCCATTAGTTCCTAAAAGAAACCTTAGAGTGCCACCTACAGTCTTCTGCCTTCCCTACCGAGTACGTTCCTGCAACTATAATTCCTTCATAGAAAGGGGGGGAAGCATCAAAGCAGAGCCAACAAGCTCGGGTGGTTTCAGGTTTAGTGGCATTAAGGAATAAAAATGACTGTTGTAACACCTGCAGCATCGGACTCGTGGTATCCGGATGGCTGATTCCACGAGGGGCAATTACCACCGGATTTGGCTGAGTGGCAATTTTAGTCTGACCGGCTGCAGAAAAGTTCAGGGCAGGAATGCTCAAGGTAGTGGAAGAAGGAGTTTGAACAGTAGTTTTTAGCATTGGTTTAACCTGTTTTGTAGGTGCTCTGCTTGGTAGCTGAGAAGAGACCTCATTAGATCCCAAGGCTCTGCTAGTAATTGGAGCAGCTTGGAGCCTTACAGAGAAAATAATACCTATATCTGTGGAGGAGGGGAAATACAGTCTTAGTCCCCATGTCTTTCCTATAATCCATTCTGTTGTGAGTCTTTTTCCTGCATCAGTGAACCTGATAGTTATGTTAGACCAACCCAACAGAGTTCTCTGGAAGATTATCGGACTGTTACCTCTGTGTCCATCCCCAGGCCACCCTGGGTCAGACCAGCTAGTTTCACAACCCCAACTGGCACAAAAATAGTCTGCGGGTCCCCCACAACGAGAGGTTCTCTCTCCCCCAGGGCAGATATACCACTGCCGGAATCTGCAGTCTGGGTATGCATTTCCAGGGATCATGTCAGTCTGTTGTGACTCCCACGAGCCTTTAGCCAGTTTGCAAAGGTCAAAAGACAGATCAGGAAACCAGGTACCTATTGGTCTCGTAGAGTTGGCAAGCTGAAGTGTATGGCCCATCTCAGGATTCGTCACCATCCATGTCAGCTGCATAGGCACATGAGGATTGTACAGCGGAGCTGAATAAACAGGCAGGCATTTCGCCATCAGGAGCAGGCAGATCTCTCCAAGGAGGAGAGTCAGTCACATCGTGAGGAGTTGTGTTACAGCTTTTAAGCAAGGTCAATGAGTACCAATGTGATGATGGCAACAAGGATGATCAAGGCTGCAGAAATGATGATGATGGCGACTAATTCCCAGTCAGAGTGGTTCATGTGCTCAGGACCTGTTGAAGGAAAAATATATTGTTTTCTCAAGGAGTTTCCTCCCTGGCGGGTATTTGGTTAACTTGTTTTGCCAGTCTTTCAGGGAGCCATCTGGCAGCATCATGCTGTTTTGAGTATATGCACACCGATCCTCTTCCCCAGATCAAGACTGGGTCTGGTCCATGCCAGGAATTATCTAGAGGATCTTTCCATTTTACCATGGCATATTTTTTTTTAGATTCAGGGTGCCAAAAGCGGTCTGCTGCAGACTTACCATTAGAGTCCAAGGTAAGGAAGTTTAAAACATAGAGTGCATGGTTTAACAGATTCCTTGGGGTACTTTTAGTGGGATACCACTCCCCTTTTTTAAATTTTTGTAAAGTGTTTTTTAATGATAAGTGAGCTCGTTCAACAATTCCCTGTCCTTGAGGATTATAAGGGATACCTGTGGAATGTTGAATTTGTAAAGTGGAGCAGAAATTTTTAAAAGCCTTGGAGATGTAGCCAGGGCCATTATCTGTTTTTAAGTGAGAGGGCTTTCCCCAAATAGAGAAGCAATGCAAAAGATGAGTGATGACATGTTTAGTAGCTTCTCCAGATTGAAGAGTGGCACAAATTAAACCACTAAAGATATCACTACAGACATGAACATATTTGAGTGTGCCAAACTCAGGAAGGTGGGAGACATCCATCTGCCAGAGCATATTGGGTGTCAGTCCCCAAGGGTTAACTCCCAGGTGGGGAACGGGGAGGAAAGTTACACAGGTTTTACAATCTTTAACTATCTGTCTAGCTTGTTCTCTGGTAATCTTAAATAGAAGTCTTAAAGAATTAGCATTTAAATGGTGTAGGGCATGAGCTTGCTGAGCCTGAGTGACGGCAGGGATGGAGGCTACAGCAATTACCTTGGTGGCAGCATCAACTAGTTCATTGCCAGCAGAAAGAGGTCCAGGCAGGCCGGAGTGGGCCTGAATATGACCTAGGAAGAAAGGGACCATCCTCCTGCGAATAAGCTGTTGGCATTGTTGAAAGAGATCAGCAGCCTCAGAGGCATGTTCAATAAATGGGACAGTTTCAAGCAAGGGGATAGAGTGGGCAAGGTAGGCACTATCAGTGTATGTGTTAAGGGACTCTGTAGCAAAGGCAGTAAAAACAGCTGTTAAGGCTGAAAGCTCCACCAACTGTGCAGAGGCAAAACTAGTTTTGAAGCAGGTTGTTTGGTTGTCAATGGTATAGGCGGCCATCCCGGAGGAGGAGCCATCCGTAAACACAACAAGGCATTAGGTAGAGGCTTTTGGCTGGTAACGCAAGGGAAAGCGAAAGCTTGCAATTTACAAAACTGTAGGAGTTTATCAGGTGGGTAGTGATTATCCAAAGAACCTGAAAAACTGGCGCAGGCAATTAGCCAAACGTCTGAGTTTTGAAGTAGCCAATCTATCTGTTCTTTGGCATAAGGCAGAACAATGTGGGAGGGCTCAATCCCAAAGTAGGTGCGGCTCTCCTTGTGGCCTGAAATAATAAGGTCTGCAACTGCATTAAAATAAGGATGTAGAACTTTTTAGGAGAGGCAGACAGATGAAGCCACATAAGGGGGTTGTGAGGTTGCTGCCAAAGAAATCCAGTGGGAGAGAAATCTGCACAAAGAATAATGAGCCATAAAGGCTTGGTGTAATCTATTCTGGTAATAAACTGTTGAGCCATTGCCTCCTCTACCTTTGCAATAGCTGTTTTGGCCTCTAGCGAGAGCATTCTCTGAGATCTGGGATCTGAGTAACCTTTGAGAATGTCAAACAAAGGCTTAAGCTCTCCCGTGGTTAATTTTAAGTATGGGCGGAGCCAATTAATATCACCCAGGAGTTTTTGAAAGTCATTTAATGTCTGAAGGTGGTCGGTCCAGAGGACAGCCTTTTTGGTGGAAACATTAGGACACATTAAGGCAAAATCCTAAATATGAGTATGGATCTTGAAGTTGAACCTTTTCTGGAGCTATTTGGAGACCCGTGGCAGCTAAGTCGCATTGGAGCTGTGAGTAGCACTGTAATACCGCCCCCCATTCTTTCCAGCAATAAGAATGTCATCCGTATAGTGGATGATATACATGGATGGCCATGAAAGCCTGGTTTTTTGTAAGGCTGTAGCGACAAACTTTTGACACAAGGTGGGGCTGTTGGCCATTCCCTGAGGTAAAACCTTCCACTGATATCTTTTCATAGGCTCTTTAAAATTAATGGAAGGAAGGCTAAAAGCCTTATGTCCTGTGGACATAAGGGGATGGTGAAGAAGCAGTCTTTAAGGTCTATAATAATTTTAAGATACTGTAAAGGAATAGCCACCGGGGAGGGCAGCCCAGGCTGAAGGGCTCCCATGAGTACCATAGTGGTGTTCACTGCCCTTAGATCTTGTAACAACCTCCAGTTGCCAGATTTCTTTTTTATAACAAAGATGGGTGTATTCCAGGGTGAATGAGATTCCTCTATATGTCCTAATTTAAGTTGTTCCTGCACCAACTGCGTTGCGGCAGTTAATTTTTCTAGGGAAAGCGGCCATTGATCTACCCAAACAGGATCATC